GAATGGAGGCCCCCCCCCCCAGCATTATGCACAACTCCCAAATTCCCAGACAGGATATAAAGGATATGACTCAGAGTTTTTATATGTACAGTAACTACTGCTCTGCTACTGTACCGTACGTACACCTATAATATTGAAGGAGTAATACTTTACTAATCCTAACCCACCCATTTCAGAGGGAAATACTGCAGGCCTACTTTTTACTCCTCTACCTTTACAGTATCTGACAGTTGAAGTTATTGGTTACTTTTCAGATCTGCCCACTAGAGTCAAGATTTTTATTTGCCATTTATGCATAAAAAGCCAGTCTAGGCATATAGGAATTCTTCTGCAGCTCTCCTTTGGAGTCAGGTAAGGAATCAAAAGCCAGAAAGAACACTTAGTCTTAAAATAAAAAAGTTACATAAAGGTGACCAAGCATTAAAACCACAATACACAAACATAGGGTAACAGTATTTTCCCCAGTGAACTTCAAACATCGAACATCGCACTTAACATGGTTGAGTTGGATATGTCATTAGCTTGTTGAGGTAGTGAGGGGTTATAACATACTAAAACACAGTTTATATTCAGGCTTGTTTCCATTGCCTGCTTCTGTTCAGGTCCCACAAGATGAATATTGTTGATGAGATGCTCTTACAAAAATACCTTGAGGAACATTTCTGTATTAGTATTGCACATGCCTAGTAAGGAGTTATTGCACATATATTCTCACATTTTCATATTTGCCATCAGTCTTACTGAGGCAGGGAAAAAGCTGTTGTAAAGTCTAGTTCTGTGTGTGATGATACTGTCTGCCCTGCCTGAGGCTGTAGGTGCAGTTTTTGTGTCTGAGCAGAGTGTGAGCTGGGTGGCGTGGATCTCTGATTATGTTCTCTGCCCTTTTACGACAGCGTTGTGTGTATATTGCATCCATAGCAGGCAATTCAGTCCCAGTGATCCTCTCTGCAGTCTTTATGACCCTTTGAAGAGCCTTCCTCTCTGCCTGTGTGGTGTTACCATACCAGACTGTGATGCTAGTAGTGAGGATGCTCTGTACCAGTCCTCTATAAGCCTGGGTGAGAGGGCGACGATTCTGAGCCACCTGATGAAATATAGCGCTGCTGGGCTTTCTTCACTGAGATAAAGTTGTTAAAATTAGCTTCACCGTGACCAGGTAGCCTACTTAGTTAATTAGTCCATGTGTTGGTTGGTTGACAAATATAAAAATCACTTAATGATCCAAACAATATTTTGTCAGCACAAAGAGTTTATGAACAGACTAAACATGTTGGTACTGCATTTTCAGACAAGTACTATATGCAACATAAGTATCTTCTTGTGCCTATAATGGCTCCCATGAGTCTGTGGACATCTTAATACATCCTTCATTTTTTAAATTTTTTTTTATGCCAGTGCCAGGTGAGCAGGCATTGTTCAGGCGTTGTATGACTCTATCTTCATGCATATGCATCTCAAAAACATTAGAACAGTAGAAACGTGTGTGGCCTGAAAGGCGGATTGTTTTGGCCTTAAGATCGTCAGGTGCTTCTCATCTTCCTTTTGACAATACCCCACAGGTCAGGCAAGTCGGCTGGCCAATCAAGCACAGTAATATCATGGTCAACATTCCAGTTAGTGACTTTTCAGTGTGGATCAAAGTGATGGTCTGGCTGACACTGCCTTCCAAGGAGCACGCTGCCAGGCCATGAAGAGGGCTTGAGAGAGAAGTTCAAACCCGCTTACCTGCACACCTGACCAAGCAGTGTGTTAAGTGGACGTGATAATGCTGTTAACTTGATCAGACAAGTAGTTTGAAGCTCATTGAGGCTTTAACTTCAATGTCACATGAGAATCACTGAGTTCTTAAAACTCACATCTTCCCTCAAGACTGATGTCTTCCTCTGCAGTGGTGTGTTTCACTTGACCAGGCACTCCATCAACGGATGGGAAGCCAGTGAGGGACTCTCTTTGTTGCTATACATTAATGATCCTTTTGGTCAGAGGGTGTGTCTGTACTGCATTCAGACAGTTTACTCTGCACCTCCTCAGTAGAAACATTCTGTTTCAGTAAAATCTGAACACTGCACACAGACTTGTTTCATTCGGGAGTCTCTTTGAGCAGCTGACTGTGGTTCTGAAGTTATTTCTTGTACATTTTATTGCAAATACAGTAGAAATATACACACACCTTTACATGAACAAAGATTTTTGCCATGGCCCTTATATTTGTTATACCCTGAAATACTTTTTTGGATATGACTTGTCCATAATAAATAGACAGATGTGTACAGAGAGGTAATTTGGATACAACTAAAATGAGATTTTTTTTTAGCATACATTGTTGAGATATAGTGTCTGATCTCCCACTTTGCAGACAGGCTTTGCTTGCAGTTTATCATCAAACCATTATGTAAATTAGCTCCCAGAGACATAAACGTGCTGCACTTCATCCGTCACACTGAACATTTACTGTTTCCCTCTTCATACACGACAGGGCCTGTTAGACGGTGCTGGAGCTGATGGTGGCTGTGTTTGGCTGAAGCACGACCACCTGCTGGGGTTTGCACTGAAGAACACCGGGAAAAAACTGGGTCATACTGCACATAATGTCATGTTTATTTCTTCCTTTCTGGTAGGAAACATACTGAGGATGCATTAAATATAGGTTAGGCTGTATATTCACAAGAGCCATTTAATGCTGTCCTGATCCTGTGCCATATCGATTTTGTATTGTAACTACAATAATCTACAGTAGGTAGCCTATTTTCAGCAGGCTATCCCATAATAAACTTTTGACTTACACTGTTATAATTTATATAAAGGTAAAAAAAAAAAAAAACTCATATTTTTATTTTATTTTTATTCATTTATATAACATGTCATAATTACCATATCTCTGGTTCTGTTAGTCTTGCTACTGTTATATAAAATTTCACTGTACCTTTCTTTTGTGGTGGTAAACTTATACCAAGGAAAGATAAATAAATAACTGAATAGTTTTCTACTTATGGTGACAGGTCCTCTATTAAAGTTCCAATATTCATACAATGTCCATGGTTTTCCTGTGAATGTAACAGTTTAATTTTGCTGATGTAACGTGAAAGCAACCTGCAGTGGGCTGTTGGAGTTTAATGTCACCTCAGCAACTTTGACCACTAGATGGCAGTGTTGAGTAAGATGTGTTCGTCAAGTGCATTGTGGTCTGAACTGGAGAAGAGTGGAGCGCAGTGATCTTTTTGACCTCATGGTGGAAATCTGGAAGTTAAAATGCCCAAATCTTAGATAGTGTCTGTATTAATACTCTAAAGAAGTCATCTACCAGCATCTTGACCTGAGGGTGCTAATTGTGCTCTCCGGTGTGTCCATCGTGGAGCTAGTGAACTTTTGGTAACTAAGGTAAGTTTTCTTTAAGTATGTGAATATAACATTTCACGGATATTTGGTGACTGTGTGGTTATTTGGTGTTTACAAATTGTTTTCGAGGTGCTCCAGAAGGTGCCGGTGCTGTCTGGTGGATGAGACTCATTCACACCTGCTCAGAGGATTCCACTACTAACTACCTGAAAAGAGGAAGAGCCAGGGGTGTTCGAAGCTGAAGGCTGTCTTCAGAGTATCCTTGTGGACTGAACACTGAGGACTGAATTGAGTTTAAACCATGACAAAACTGTAGGAACAAAATGTCTAGTGGTTCTGGGGATGAAGGGACTTCTGGAAATGACAATGATCAGACAGGACAGCTTTCACATGGGGCAGTGGGTACAAGTAGAGACCATACTGCCAAAAGGCATGTTCAGAGTTTACCAGACTAAGGGATGAAATTACCAGGTTACAGAATGAAGTGAGAACCCAGACAGCCAATAATGCCCTCACTCTGTCATATATTTACATTCCCAGGGAACGTCAAATCCGCCCCTTTAGTAGGGAATGTGGTAAATGAGCGATCTGTGGATAAGTTTATTGAAGAGGTTCAGAGGGTAATAAGGTCCAGAGAACAGACCCCTGAAGAACAGTGTGATTTTATACTGTCTCTGTTACATGGTCCAGCATTAGAGGAGGGGAAGCTGTGCATGACAGGTCAGGCATTAGAGCCCAGTGATGTGTACTCTTACCTGAGAAATGGTTTGGGCAACAATGAAGCCCCACCCAGCTTTTGCAGACGTTTTACAACCATAAACAGGCAGATGGAGAGGACCTCTGTGACGACTCCCATGCCTTGTCACAGATATTGAGCTCTGTTACAAAACAGTCCACAAATAGAATACCTGATTTTAAAAAATGGTCCTTGGGGATTAGTTCATTGAGGGTCTGAGGGACGCAGCACTCAGACGTGAACTTCGAAAAATGGTTAGGGACAAATCTGATTCTAGCCTACTAGATGTGAGGAATGACGCTCTCCTGTGGGAAATGGAGGATAGTAGGTCTCATCGCTCTAAGGTTGTAAGAAACCACCAAGTTCAGTCAGAAATGG